AGCTTTCGTAGCTACATCCCTCCAGCCAGAAACTTATCGCTTTCCGGACTGGGATGCTGACATTGTGATTATAAATGTTTACAAATGAAATGAAATATATGAAATGTTCAAAAGAATACCAAAAAGAGTGAATGGTGAAGTTCGGCCTTCACCTACAACCCTCCAAAATAGTATATTAAGTATGGAGAACGGTAAGGGATTTTTACCGTTCGAAGACAATTGTTTGGAGGAGGAGCGAAGCGACGACTCCAATTTATTATTGTCTGAGAACGGTAACCCTTAACGTTCGACGTGCTTATAACATTTTTTGCGCGATCGAAATTAAAAATATCCAACCAATATAACTATGCACTAAGAAATTAACGAGCAGAATAAATCGAAATAATCGAAGTGGTTTGGTGTACATCACTAGGTAACCAGTTGAAATGTCAAAATTGAAAGTAATAATTTCATAAAAATGTGCATGTGTCTGATGTAGTTTACTAGCTTTGCACTTCCTTTATGACTTTATGAGCGTCTTGCTATAGGAAAAACAGCACAAATTGTACGTTTAATGTACCTAACAATAATTAAAGATTAAATGTAATATAAGACTGTTGATTTTTAAAAAGGCGTCGGTAAGTATTTTTGCTGTTCTGTTTTTAGATCGGTAAGTAATTTTGGCGTCGTCGTAATCATAGCAACTGGTAAATTCTACGTACTGTCATAGAAACATCCATGGTAAATAGTCAGAAATGACCGATCGCGCAAAAACCAATATTGGCCTCATTGAAATATCCAGTGCCCAAAATTGTATTACGACTTTATGGCCACTTTCTATTTACTAAATTAATAACCCCTTAAATGACAATGGAAATAAATACTGCTTTTTACAAACAAATCGAAATTTTAAAATGTATACAAGGCTTCACTCACTTAGTATTGAATTTAAAAAAATACAAAACTTTTACCTTCTCCTTTCCAACTTCCATTTTCCTTTTAAACCTTTCAAACCGGGTAAAAAATGAATAGACGGGGTTTCTATTTAGTGTTTAAACGTCAAAATTCCAAAGTATCCAAATCCCTAAAGGAAACGGTCGATATACAAATAGAGAATTATATAAATTAAATTATATAAATATAAATTAGTTACTAAACAATTAAAACTGCCCCTTGAGCCGTTCAACATTGCCATACTGGATCACCTTCGATTAGGTCAATGTTACCGTCTTAAATTCTCGCGCCTGAATTCCGCTATTGTATTCGCAATGACAGTTACTGAAACGGGTGTTACGTTCACTTTGAGTACACGTAACAGATAAGCACACGGTAAGCTCAGGCAAAGTAGTGGTGGGTTGGGGTGAATAATGGAGTTCTTCGTACACTAACCAAAACTAAACAAGTATAAATTGTGCACAACTCTTGTGCATAAAGCGCATTTTTTTAAACCGAAATAGCTTAGTAAATGGTTGAGTTATAAGGTAGTAGCATGGTACATGATTAATGGGGAGGAGGCCCTTTACACATAAACATTTAAAGGCCCCTGGCATACATTCAAAATCCTTCGACACTCCATTCTGCAGATATTTGGATTGAAATGTTTGACAACATCAATAGATATGATATGTCTTATCCTGACGTTCCACTTGCCTTTTGTGAGTACCCTCTTCCGACAATACGTGATAGAGATATAAAAGGGAATATATTCGATCGCGATAAGGGGTCGAGGAGGACTATGGTTGGTAGAAAATAATTCCTTTCGTTGAGACCTTTCATTAGAGTACCATGAAGGCTAAGGAGCTAAGGATAAGGAGTCAGAGTACCATGAAGGCTAAGGAGCTAAGGATAAGGAGTCAGGTTCCTTTCGTTAAGATATTTAATGAGAATATCATGAAAGATAAAATTAATTTCTAATCGCCCCTCCCCCTCTCCGCGGCCCCGCCACTCACTGATCTCGAAAAATAATCGCGCGGGAAAGTTATAGTTTGTACACACAAATTAGGTCACTAATTAGGTTACTCATATAGGTACTACAAACCGTAATAATAAGAATCAGTAATTCAAATGACGTTCAACTAGCAAAAGCAAAAATTTGATCGACGACGAATCGTCCGTACAAATCGGTCATAATGATATAAAAAATTCACAGATTTTGCAAACATTGCAACCATTGGAGACATTGGAAATGATAACCGTATAACGCCATATGTAAAA